TAGATTTATTTACAAATTCACTATTCTTAATATTTAAAATTTTAGGTTGCCTATAATGGTGATCCTGAAGGTGCCCTTATCCAATTTGCAACATATGAAGAAGCAAAGAAAGCAATATCAAGTACAGAAGCAGTGCTAAACAATCGCTTTATTAAGGTTTATTGGCACAGAGAAGGAAGCACCCAGCAGTTACAAACTACTTCTCCAAAGGTAAGAGAAATTTGTGTGAAATTAAATGCTTTTCTTAGAAAGCTCTTGGCATAGTGTTTCTTTTAAAAGCAGAGACACTGCAGTCAGGAAGACTTGAGTTCAGATTCTGGCTCCACACCATTAACTGTATATATTGAGGAAGTCACATAACTTCTCTAACCTGTTCTCTCATTTTGTTATGACAGAAATTCCTAGTTTAAGTTATTGTAGGATGATATGTGTAAAGCACATAGAACAGTCCCTGGTGGGTGGGAGATACTTCAGTACATGGTAGCTCTGCATATTCCAGAAACTCAAGACTGTGGGTTCACTTTGGAAATCCTTCCCTCCCTCCCTCCTTCTCTCTTTCTTTTTCTTTCGATCAGTGAGTCAATCAGTATGTAAAGTTAGATTGACTGTGTGTAGAGGTGTATTATAGCAATTTGTTTCTCAATTTAACTTTCTCCTGTTAAGTAAAAAAGAGAGAGACAAAAGATAGTGAAGGGTAGATTCTACTTTTTCCTTTATCAGTGAGTATCTATATTTTATGTATCTATATATGCAAGTGAAGGAATTTGGAAGGCAATTAGGTTTTGATAATAAGCTGTACTTTTGAAACTTCCTCTGCATGGGCAACTTAGTAACAAAATACTTTCCATGCTCAAGAACTAATCAGCTTGTTTAACATATTTTTCTTGTTCTGAGGTAATGCAGCCTTTAGTCCAGCAGCCCATTTTGCCTGTAGTGAAGCAGTCAGTCAAAGAGCGGTTGGGTCCAGTACCTTCAAGTACTATTGAACCAGCAGAAGCCCAGAGTGCCAGTTCAGACCTTCCTCAGGTGAGTGAGAAAAAAGTCTCATTGTGCCTGGCACATAGTAGGTTCTCCATAAATTAGTTTCCCTTGGTGATTTGAATTTCAGTTAATTGTGTGTGTGTGTATATATATATTTTTTTAATACAGGAATATGATGGTCTATATATATTTAAACCCCACCTGTAAATTTTTTTTTACCATCACCATAACATTTTCACAATCTACTTTTCCTGTATTTGAATCTTAAGTTCTTTTCTCTAGTTGATACTTATTTATGAGATAAGAGTTTTCTTTCACTTTATAGAAGAGATATTTTCCAGCAAAACTGCCTGAAAAGTATAGTACATTGAATCTTGTTTTTCCCATCATCTTTTACTTAAACTAGAATTCTGTTCCAGAGATAATTATGCAATAGACTGGACTAAAAAGCTTTTGGGAAGGGAAGGCTTAAACCTTCAAGTTACTTATGCAGCTCTCTCAGAAGTTTGCATCACTTATTCCTGACTCTCAAATTCTCTTCTCTATATGTTATTCCCTTCCCACTCCCTTCCACACTTGAGTGGCAGTTTCTTGTTTCTACACCCTTAGTCTCTGAAACTTAGCTTTCCTTTGTCTACAGATGTTTCAATATTTGCTGTGTAAAATGGTTAGGATGTAGTATCCTACTTAGCTAATGGATGCCACCTTATTCTTGAAGAGTAAATTACTGAGATTTTATAAAAACCTGCAGAATGTAAATTGGTAAATGGTTAGGTATTAAAAAAAAATCTCCAATCCTACTATCCCAAATCATAACCAAATTCAGTATATTTGCCTAAAATATAAACATTCTTTAGGAAGGAATGGCCTTTAAGCTCAAAAAGCTAGCACATATTGTAACTACTCAAATCTAATATTTAGAATGTACAAATTTTCTGCTTGTCAAAATAGGATTCTAAGAATTTATGATTCTATATCAGTGGAGAGACTTAAGCAATCACCTGATTCAGACCTCTTATTTTACATCGTAATTTTTTGTGATTGAATAATGTTGCATACTGTTTGTTTTTCCAAGCACGTTTTCTTTCTGTCTCTGTCTTTGCAAAAGGCCTAAGTTGTGTTATTAACATCAGTATACTCATAGAGTCAGTAGAATCAGAATGTTCAAAATCCCTACAGACTTATATATGTTTGGGGAAACACTGAATATGTCCATTTTAATTTTTTTAGAATGTAACTAAGTTATCTGTGAAGGACAGGTTGGGTTTTGTATCAAAGCCATCTGTTTCAGCAACTGAAAAGGTAAGAAGAATAGCATGATGTGTGTGTCTTGGCTTCATAAATGTTTTCAGGTGGCATCTTAATTTTTAATTTTTTTCATAGTTCCAAACTCTTGCTTCTTAATAGTATCTGTATTTTTTCCTACCTTTTTGCTCTCCATTTGCTGAAAAGAACAATATTTGCCTACTTCTTTTTACTTTTTGCATCAGCATTTTAATACTTGCCGCTCACTGTATTTCCTTGTGCCTCCATTCTTCTTGTTTTTTCTTTTTATTTACTGTATTTTCTTTAGCAATATTGTACATTTTAACTTGAAAACTTTGACAGCCTAATAGTAAGGGCTATGATTAGGAATTTTGCCTGGGTTTGAGCTCTGGCTCTTCACTTACTAACCCGCATGACTTTGGGCAGTGCTCTTAACCTTTCTGAACCCTTTTCTCATCAATAAAATGGTGATGGTAATATTTGTCTTACTCATGGGGTTTTATAAAGATTAAATGAAATTATTTAAGAGTATTTTGTAAAGTGAAAAGAATGATGTACATAAGCTTTTTATTTATTACTAACAGCTATTGTGTATAGCCTGGTAATACAGTTAGTCATTTCTTTTTTTAAATGAAGGGAGCAAATTCTGATTAAATTAAGAACATTTATGGACTGATCTTATAGTTCTGTGTAAATGTGGTTTTTTTTTTCTGTTTAAGTATGAGTGAATGCTCTGATCTTTAGTCTTATTTGAGGTATGTGGAATCACAGAATATTTGAACTAGATAATCTTTCTCATTTCTATATTCTTACCTTAAAGGAAAGTAAGGTCCAAATAGTTTTATGGCTGACCTATACACTATGAGTTAGTGAGCTTGGATTTATAGTCCATGGCTCTTTCCATTATAAAGATTACATAGGAAACTGACATTGTAGATAAATAAAGCATCCCATGAAATACCTGACCTACTGTCTTCACTGTTTGTTCAAATATTATTTTCCTTCTTTACTGTGTTAGACTTGGGCAGTTCTGGAAATTTGAATATTAATCTCATTCTGTATATCAGATTTTCCTCTTGGGCACCCCAGCATTACTTCAGGCATAACATGCCTAAAATGATACATTATTTCTCATGTAAATTAATTTATCTTCCTAGCCCCCGCCTCTGGAAGTATTGCCACCATTTTCCACATTGTGCAGTCTAGAAGCCTTAGAGTCATTTACTTGTGTTTGTAGTCCACTTCTCTTTTTCTACCGCCTTCAGTTCCTGGCCTCTGGGCTGGCATCCCCTTCCTCTAGTTTACACTGTCACCATACTACTGTCAGACTTATTTTAATATTAATTCTTTACAGAAACTTTTATTTCCTCAGCTAAATGGCTTTGCTTGATTCATAACTTACCATACCTCAGTTCTGGTTCTGTTACCTCTACTTTAGTTCTTCCTTTCTACCCTAAGGAGCCCTTTTCTGCTCATTGTCTCTTGCTGTTTCTGCCTCTTTTTTCTTTTTGGGGTGGGAGTTTTCTTGAAGTGCATGTCCCTCTACCTAACGAGTTCTAGTCATTCTTTTAAAGATTGAAAATGTCTCTAACCTCTACCATGAAACCTCCAAATTTTTTCATATATGCCCCCTCTTTCTCTGAATTTGTGTGGCTTAGTCGGTGCTACTAAATTTAACAGTACCTAAATATTTACTTTAATTAGATTTATTCTCCTTCATAATAATAACTAAGGATTTAAAAAAAAACAATATAAGGGCTGTTATACTTAGTGTAGTACTGAGCAATTCTGGAGAAGTCTAAAACCCTGATTATGTTTAGGATCTGTTTATGTCAAGATTTGGACTCTGAAATTGAATTATGCAAATTACAGCTTTTACAAAATTTTTCTAGTGTGTTTATTAGCTACTGGTTTCCTTATTTTTTTTAAACATGTTTTATATAACTTTAGTTAAAAGGTATAAGAATTTGGAATTGACAGTATAAATTTGCTTACATAGTTACCACTAACTGAATTTGTGAAAAACCACTAGTGTTAGTGGGCTATTTTTGAAAAACAAATTGCTTGGTAAATATTGTAGAGAATCTTTTAAGAAAAGTAATTATTTATAAGTATGAAACTTTGTCATTTTCTGTGAACCTGTTTACAGAATAACATTCTGTTTTTACTTATTCTTGGTTATTTGTGTTCCTCTAATTCATAAAGGTTTTTGCTGCATAATCCTTAGAGGTCAGTGATTCAGAGAAGTCTTATTAGAAAAATAGAAGAATGCTGCCCATCATTAAATTTTGTTTAAGTTGAAGTCAGGAAAAACTCATAACTAGTTTCAAAACAGTATCTTCTGTCATTGTTAAAGGAAATAAGAACACAAGTGTAAACTTTTATCCCCTTCCTCTAAACAACACCCAGTAAATCCTTTAGTGATTCTTCTTTATTCTAAGATTGCATTTTGTGAGAGGGCTGAGAGAGAGGTAACTTGAAACCTATTTGATACTGCTAAAGATCAAGTTAATTAATAGCTATAAAATAGGTATTATTTGACTAGTGTGATCAGAGAAATAATGTTTGAGGGCCTCTGTTTACTATAGAGAGATTTATGAAGAATAAAAGTGGCATCTGCGTATCCCATCCTGGTAAGAAAAGATTTAGACTGTCCAGATTATCTCCCTAAAGCCTTTCTAAATTCTAAGAAGGCAAACTGGTTAATCAGTTGAGTATTTGATGTGCTTATGTCATATCAGTTTTATATATGTCATACTAACAATATAAGATGTTATTGTTCCTTAGCGGTTTTTTTTTTCTTTCTTTCTTTCTTTTTTGGCAATCTAAAAATATGTCTTGTTCCCCTTGCATGGAACTTTTAAAAGGAAAATTGTGTGGCATAATTGAAGGAACATTGCATGTCATAGAGAATTCAGCTGTTGATATAGCAGCTGACATTTTGGATGATCTTGAACAGGTCTAACTCTCTTCTATTTCCTTAACTATAAAATGCAGTCATTTAAGTAATCCTTTGATTTTTAAATTTTGTATTTGTTGTATAATTTTACTTCTTTATTATAAAGATTAAGAAAATTTATGATAGTTTTTTTTTCCATCACTTATTGACTAATTTTTTTTTTAATGGATTGCACTCTGTTAGGATTCTTCCATGAATGACTCAGGATTATTATCAGGATTATTTTTCTTACAGGGAAGTATGATTTATATAAAATTATTTTCTATGCTGAATTTTCTGGGAAGCAACCTGTTGTAGCAGAAATTGATTACTGACTTAACACCATTTTTCTTTGATACTAAAATATTTCTCTGCAAGATTTTCAATCCCTTTGTCTCTTTTAAGCTACTTGGTATTCTTGAAGGAAATCAAACTGTTAATCCCTGAAAATATTTTATAAGTTCAACTTTAAAGTAAACTCCTATTACTAAAATTCCCAGCTCTGTTTTGCCATAGAAAACACATCTATGTGCAGCTTTAAGAGAATAGCATAACTGAACATTGAGATTTATTGAAAGGCTGATTATTTACTTAATATAAAAATTGACCATATGGTAATTATATATTAATAAGCTTCTTATACATAATTCCTCAGATTCTGTCTTTTTATTACATTTGAAAGAAAGCATTTCTGCTTTAGAAATCTGTGAGGGTTAGCTTATGTAAGTGTGGCTGTGAAGAATCCTAACTATGTTTCTTTTGTATTTGATTTTAACTTGGGTACTGGTTATTGAAAAGTAATACTTGGGTGACTTAATTTGTAGTAACCTTTTATACTAAGTAATTTTTACAAAATACTTTCTTTCCTTCCATTCTTACCCATGAGAAAAATCTGTTTTTCTTTTTTTTTTACAAGTACTAATAGTCATGGCAGGTAATATTTTATATAGGAAATAAGATAAGGAGGTATTAATGGATTATAACCTCTGTTTTTTGAGGGTATTACTGGCTTTTACCTTGGGAAGTAAGAGTTATTAGTGATGTATATTTTAACAACAAATCGTGATACTTTTTAACTCATCATATGAATTCAACAAAATCAGTTTAATTCACCATATTAACAAAATAAAGGGGAGGGTAGGTGTTGGAGAGAGGTGGGAGGACCCCATATGATTATTTGAGTAGAAAAAAACATTATCAAATTCTTTAGTCACATTATACATTCTGCAAACTAGGAATAGAAAGATCATTCCTTAATTTTGACATGTATTAGCTGCAAAAAACCCCCTACAGCCAGCATATTCAATGGTAGAATACTGAATAATTTCACCCTGAGATCAGGAAGAAGAAAGGATACCCACACGTGTCGTTTTTTTTCCAGTAGTGTAGGGTTTAATCATTACAATAAGGCAGTAAAATAAAATAACATTGAAAAGGGAGAAATAAAAATATACTTATTCACAGATGATAAGATTGTATATGTAGGGAAGTCCAAAAGAATTCATGAACAATTGGAATTAATAAGTGAATGGAGTAAGATCACTGGAAATTAGGTCAGTATGTGAAAACAGAGCACATGCAGAAACCCTTTTGGAAAATAGAGAAGGTGTGGTGGTTTAAAAAGGCCGTTTCCAATGTTTTGATTGTGTGCTTAGAATTGTAGCATCATGTTTTCTCTTTGGTTTGTTACTTCCCTCCACTGGTTTCATTTTTAACAGATTTTCTTCTCTGAACTACTGTATCCTTATCTTTTGAAAATACAGTTATTTCTTGCTATTCATGCTCTTACTGTCTAAACTATGGAACCAAGTAGTGGTGGTGAGCAGTATTTGTAATCATAGTTTACTGTTTCTATTTTCACATTTTTACACCTCTGAAATTGGTGTAGTTGTTGGTGTTTATGGTTATAATTAACAACCTTTTTCTTTAGTAGGGTTATATTAAATGATCTTTTCTCCTAGTCAGTGACATGTGTT